GGAAACCTGCCGGACACCTGCCGCCTTACTCTGAACGGTCAACGTTGCGGAACGGCACAGCCAGGGTCTCCTGTCACCTGGATCTCCCCGTAAACGTGGGAGGCCCTGCCTACCTGATGGGCTTCCCTGAGGTTCCCGAGCTTGGAAGTGGGAAGAAACGAACAAAAGATGAGAAAAAAACCTCAAAAAAGGTCATCTGTGTCTCTGTCTCCCCAAATATACTAATTGTTCTTGATCTCCAGGGTCATTGAGTGGCAATTAATCGTGCAATTGCACTTTTCTGAAAAGCTTATGTTTCAACTCTGAATTTCTTCAAGGAAAGAAAGATTGACATGTGGTCAGATTTGCTTATGGGGGTTCCTGGGGGACAAAGAGTATCTAGAAAACCCTACAGATATAATCATGACACTGCTGCCCAGGAGAGGTGAACAATCCCAGCTGCATGTGCCTGCACTCCAAATTGAAAGAACACGTAGAGGATTCCAGAATTAAAGTAAACTAAGAAAACGTGTACCTTAGGGTGTATCTCAGGAGGCCTGTTCAAATTACCAATATCTTTGCAAGTCTGTTGCTCATATGCGGGCACCCTTCCTCCTGTTGAGCAGCTTAAACAACAATGGTAACACTCTGGCAGGCCCCCCCCCGCCGATGGTTTTAGGGAGCACTGGCTACGGAAGTCTGCCTTCTCTTCCTTCGCTCTGCAGAAGGTAATTAAGAACTAGGCTCCTCCTACGGACAGAAACTTGACTTGGGGCAGTGGACACACGATACGATATACAGGTGACACATGACAGAATTGTACACCTGCAACCCAAACAATAATATTAACCAGTGTCACCCCAATCAATTCAATTTTAAAAAAAGAAAGAAAAAAGAACAAGGTTACCTGCCAGTAGAATGGTAATACTTAGCCTTTTCAGAAATCTGTAGGGTTGGGAAGTAAGAAGATCTGAGAGTGACTCCTGAATCCAGTATATACTCGTCTCGTGCTTTTGGACCAAGATGGGAATAATAATATTATATGACGAGCAAGTGACTTCAATGAGACAGTGCATGTCAAATGCCTAGTACAGCAACTTTCATACAGTAAGAGCTCACTAAATATTAGTGATTATTTTCAATGGTGGAGAGGTCTGCTGGGGCGGAGTTTCTCAATCGAATAACTGGACCTGATAATTCTTTGTCGTGAAGGAGTGTTGGTGAGCATAGGTATAGTAGTGTCTCCGGCCCCTCTACCCACAAGATGCCAGCAGTGCCCTCGTCAGAGATGTGACAAGCAAAAATGTCTCCAGACACTGCCGAATGTCCTTGGGGGCAAAGCCACCGCTGGTGGGGAACCAGTGTTCTGTACCCCAGCCCCATTCTGAGTGGCATTGCTAATTAAAGTTAATCACTTCACCCAATTTGCTTTAAGCAGTTATTAAATGTTGTACTGGACACATTTCGTTCGTTTTTTCAAAAAACTTCACATTCATTCCCCTTCCGGTGGCCTCAGAACCCCCTTCCTGCTTTGGGAGAACCATCCCCATTCCATTCATACCCCGTGTGCTTTGCAGAAACTGCTCTCGGTACAGTGCCTGACACCTTGTAAAAGCAATGATCAACATATGGCAAGAATTCATCGCTCTTCCACTGGCTTATGGTGTGAGAGGACCCCAAAGCTCCTAGAAGCCACCATGGGAGTGAGAGTGATGCCATCCTAGAAGAAACAGGACCGGGCGGGAGAGGAAACCTAAGTTCAACATTGACCCTGAATGAGGCCGAGCCTGAAGCCATCCCTACTCCCTGGATTCTGGGTACAGTAATCCAATGAATTTCTTTTCTGCTCACGACAGCTTGGGTTGCTGCCACTAACTCTTCTCCGCTGGCATTAGGACAGGGGTGTGCACATGTACCTTTACGAATATCCTTGGCGATCTTGTGAGATACGTGTATATATATTACACCCATGTTACAGTGGAAGCGCAGGAAGCTGGCTGACTCACTCAGAGCCCCACAGCCAGTACATGGTCAAAACATAATTTAATTTAGTTTTGTCCAACATCCAGTCCAGTTTATCACATGTCCCTAATGTTATTCGGGGGCGGGGGGTGGCCGGGGCTAAAGATGAGTGTCACCCAAGGTCTTTGACAACATCCCTGGCGTTCCAAACAGAAATACTGGAACATCTCTGTGGGAGCGATCTGGGTGTGATAAAGGTTCGCCCGTAGAGACTCGACTCCTATTCATTTATCCTTGGGAGGCAGGGAGGAAATTATATTAGTTAATATGAAACTGCCTTGTTTTGAACACATCCAAAAATAGCCAGGGAAGAAATTACCTTCACTAATAAAGCAAGGCAGATATGAAAGCTTCACGCTTGGGGGAACATGAATGATCTTATTATCCTGAGCATCTTGATGATAACTATAAAAATCCATCTTTATTTGAGTTTCAGGCAAAAATATAAAATAGTAATATTACCTTGGGCTTAACAGTGTCTGTATCCTGCAAACCCAAGTCCTGCTCCAAAAGGAATCATAATAAAATATCAAAGATAGTATTTCGGAGAAGCCCAGCACCTTCTAGGCTATCTACTTGCATTTCTGCTTTTACCCTGCAAGGAAGTAATTCTCTGGATAAACTCACAAGGGAAGTTCAACACCTCAGCCAAGGGCAACAGCTAGGAAAAAATAGAGATTAGAATCTAGGGTCTCTTTGACTCCTGAACCGGCGTCCCTTCGCTACACCAGGCTGGCTGAGCAATGAGTAAGGTCCCAAGAATACAATCCCCGGTACTGGCCCTTCTGATTATTTCATCTCCTTTGCACCCGCCCCACAAAGCATGACACTCACTAAGAATGCTATTCAAACTTAAAAAATGCTCTAAGCCCCTGCGCTATTTCAGGCACCAGGCTGTATGTAATGGGTTGTGGGTTTTATAATCATCTAACCGCTGGAGTTCTTGGATAAAATACCCCAAAGGTCAGACCATAAAGAGACCGAAGTCATAGAGTAAAACTCTTCCATTTTCCAAGAGAGCAGCACTCCATGGCCTTTGGTCAAAGATCACTGGATAATTCTGAAATTTATGTCTCCAGTACATCCACATTTTTTATCTACTATTTCTTCCACCTGAACTATTTCAGTATCTCTCCACATCTACACCTGTGCCTGTATCCTGCTGTTTACAAATGAGGAACATCACATCTCTCTCTCACACACACATCCGCGCGTGCGTCTGCACATACACACACATAAACACCTGTTTAAAAAATCTCTATGGTTTCCTAAATGACTTAGGAGAAATGTAAAAAGCTTTAAAATGATCTTAGACCCTTAGAATTCAACCAGTTTTCAATACAAATAAATTAACCTGGAGGAAGATATAAGTAGTAGCAAAACCTGGGATATTAAGATAATTTGAAAAAAGTTCCAAATAAAAGGTTTTAGCTTCCAGAAATTATGATTTAAAAAGCCACACACTTTTCCTATTACTATCTCCTATAAATAGTGAAATCAAAGAACAATTGGAAAATACTCGTGTTTGAATAAGCACTGCCCGAAACGAGCCCCAAACATCCAGATCAATGGAGACTTCCCCTGCGCATCAATATGAAATAACAGTAGGAATGATGTGGGTTTATGGTCGATAGAAAAGTCTATTATAAAACATTTTTATACCTTGATTTCACTGGTTACAATTAATATACAAATAATACCTGAGACTCAAACAGGAAAATATGCCCACCTTCTCAAGCAATTTCTTAATTTCCTAAATAGAGATTTTTTTTTCCATAAGGATAATAAATAAGTAATTCTGACAAAAGAAGAGCAATGCCCTGAAGACTGAAGTTTTCTTTTGTAACCCAAGGACCTTTGCAGCCTCTGGGAGACCCACTGACTCATTTACAGCATTTCCATACATCCTTGAAATGACACTCTACCTGAAATTTACTTTCAGTACTTGAAACTAATGGACCAGAGAAGAGCTGTATGAGAAAGGAGAATTCAAAAACTTTCTAGAATGTTTTTAAGCGCATCAAAGTGATCCTATTTCTGAGAAGCAAATTTTAAATAACCAGCTGTGTTTTCAAATGGAATTAACAGACTAACTTGAGTGGAAACTTACTGTTGCATATTCAGGTGGACTGGGGTGCCAGGTGTCTAGAACTTCTGTGTTTACTCTCCTTGTATCAAGTACCCCATTCCTATCCAGTAAGGCGTGCATTTTGTTTTTTAAGTCACAAGTTGATTGTTTGCAACTTTAACGCAATGTTAGGCCATTTACAGAAAGGCTTGTATTTCCTAAAATTTAGTCAGTTAAATTTCTGAAATATAAAACTTACATGCAGTGTTTTACATGGAGAGGCTAAATTGAGGAAGGACAATGAAACACTGATTAGGCTGATCTCTTTATAGTTACTGGCCAACCCAAATGCGGGGCAGCCATCGTCCCTCTCCCGGACGAACACCCGGAAGGACAAAGGGAAACCCCGAGCAGTGCTTGCCGTGCTGGGCATTGCGAGGAGCACGTCTCAGAATTAACCTCTTCCAGCATCAGAGTCACTCATCCCACTGTGAGAAAAGCAAGTGGGACTCACCCACCTGCAACTGCAAAAAACTCAATGCCCCCGTATTAATGGCCGACCATAGTCAGCTCAGACGAGGAAACATAAATAGAGTAACGGATGGCAGTTTCCCAAAAACCAAGGAGCTCGACCCAGTACATTTTTACCTCATTCAACTTCAGTCTGTGCTACGTAATCAAACCACGAAATGAAAATTCACATGATAGTCAGGGAACATGAGAATCACCCATGGAAAAGAGAGCCATGTTTATTAATACGAATATTTTACAACACACCCTCCTAACATTGCATGGTCACATGTAGCTCTACACACTTCCTGAAGTGGGGTCCAAGATGGATCTCGTCTGTAAACCTAGGTCTCAAATGATGTGCACCTCAGGGGCAGGAGGAAGTGCGGGGAAAAGACGGAAAAACAATTACGAAACTCACCTCCCTGCCTCAAAAGTGAACCAAGCAGCATCTCGTCCATACCGCCGCAGGGCGCTGAGCGGCCAAGAGATGAGCTTGACTCTGGGATTCTGGACGTCCCAAAGACAGATGTGCTCATATGTAATCTGCAAGGCACATTCGCCATGTACATCTAAGTTAGGAGATGGCATCAAATACACATTGAATCTCTCTGGGAGAAAAACAAAAGGTTAGTCTAAAATCCCCAGGAATAGAACATCAAAGACACTGTAGGAACAAAGAGGCATTTCAACATAATTCAAGCTCACAATCTAGCTTTTGACTGAACAGTCAAAAAGATAAACCTTTCTCATAAGTTAACAGTCCCAGAAAATTATTTTTTTCAATGAAGATCATATTAAATCACATAATAATGATACAGTCTGGCTGTCAACACATACTAAACACTATTTAACTGAGCAAAGACCATTTTAAGAATTTTTTAATTTGCATAATAAAAAATGTGTATGTCAATAAAAGGCTAAAACAATGAAACCATTAAAAACATTGTTTTCCCCGCAGGTACATATTAATTACACCCACACTTTTGTGTTCACAATAGATGCAGGTGCAAAATAACGGTCTTATGGTTTAATGATATAAAAATTATATTGATCAGCTTATAGTTTTCAGAACTTGATAAATAAAACTGTATCCCCAATTATTTAAATAAAACTCAACATTAATACCATGCACTTAATAGACCTACAGTACGGAAAAATGCCAATGTATATATTTGAACTAGTTTTAACAATGAGCTGTCTTCAGCAAAATACTGGAAAGAAATACTCATTTGCTTTTTGGGATAACTGTTAAAATTTAACTAAGATTACTCTAAATACAGCTCTTGACTCATTACTGCAACTGAATTTTCATTTCTACAGGTACAATCATGGTATTTCTATTAAATTTTTTAGAAAGTTCATTAAATTAAGATTACAGAGCCAAAAAGTGAAATATGAACAAAAATATTATTACTATGGCAAACACATTTTCACCTATCCACCATTATAGTAGATTGCATACATCTGACAAAATAGTGTGGTGCTGATAACATTAATATAATTCTAAGTTAATTATTTTATAGTAGTAAAGATGGCATTAGAATTTTCATAGATTTTAGTTGAATTCAGTAAGGAGTGGTAAGACTGTGTTTGTGGAATGCATTCATGCGTGTATTACTCAAGTTTTCTAAGTGATTTCAAACTCCCTCTAACCAAATATTTGCTGGAACAAGGAAGAGAGACTGTCATCATTAATTAAAAAGTAAGAGAGACCATTACCAGTTTATTTGCTTAACAGTTCTTCTGTAACTCCCTTGCTCAAGAATGACAACAGCCACAGTGCGGAGAGTGGCCGTTTCTGTTACGATTACTTCAAGTCGTGGAATTTGATGCTGTACAGTGCCTTAAAGGCATAGCTGAGTTTCATAACCATCCCTAGTCCTTCTCTACCAGGGGTATTTTTTCTCCTATTTGACAGAAGAGGAAACTGAGGCACAGGAAAGGGAGCCCCTGGGTACTGCTTCACAAATACAAATTTGTGAAAAAATAAGTGCTGATCACGGCACTTTAAATTTTAGAAGAAGTCAAAACCTGGTATGTTTTCCTCGTTACGTGCCTCTGTCTGCGAGGCACCCCGGGTGCATCCCCGCAGTCCGGGCGGCCCCCGACTTAGCGACCCAGGAAAGGAGCCCGCACTTGGCTGTCTGACCTGGCACATGCCCACCTCCCCGCAGCTCCACTTCCTAGTCTGCAAAGAGGCTCCCGCCAATGAGCCTGCACTTCCAGGTCCTCCATCCATAACACTTCCGCGAAGGTGGGTTATGGCCGATACGGAGCATGTGAAATAGTCCCAGACTGTGAATGTGTCATAGAGACACAGCTCCTAATGGGAAGGAGGGCATTGTTTTCCTAACAATGGGAGTGTGTGCCCAAGGAAAGGGTCAGTCCAATCCTGCCTCTGCCTTGTTCCCAGCCAAGCCAGGTGACCCACAACCTCTCCAGGAGGGTGTGATACAGCCTCAGGGATCAAGTCAACAGGCTAAAGCAGAACTCGGGGATCCAATCTGCCCTGTCATATGGCTCAGCTACTTGGAGACAAAGAAGTGATTTTCCACCTCTGGGCTCATACTGTAAACCAACATTGATTTTTGCTGAAGTGTTCATGAATATTTTGGTCATTATTACTTGAAATGATTTATTCCCAGGTTGAATGCTGAGCTCCAAGAGCTGGCTCAAGTGTTTCAGTAGAAAGGACTGAGGTGGGTTTAAACTTGATGAAATATTCATAAAGTTCAGATTCTATTAATAACATTGGGAGGCTTTCAATGAAAATTTTAAGTGAAAAACTCCAGACACAAACCCATGACACTGTCAAGTCTGTACATTCTAAACATGGGCCCAAACGTATAGTCTGGAATCAAACACTAGTGATTGGAACCGGAGCGAGATCTTTAGCTTTTCTAAGCTTCAGTTTCTTCATCTGTAAAATGGGAAAGTAATAGAACCTATGTCATACGGCTGCTGAGAAAATTAAACAATCTAATGCATCTTCCACGGAAACAGGCACAGAGTGGGCTCCCCAAAATTTCTAGCTGATGTTATTAGTGCAGATATAGCCATAGTATGCATCAAAAACATATAAAGAAAAGAAATAGACTGAAATATTAACACTGGTTTTAGGTGAAACAAAAGGTTATTTTTGCTTCTACACATATATTTTTTTTTTACAACTTAAACCATTTTACATAATGAAGATATCTTCTGTTTTATTATACAGGGACAAAAACACAGTTTCATAAAAGAGCGAAGGAGAAGATTTTCTTTACATACCACTCTGCTCTCTCTCAACCCCAGTAGCCAGCAAGTCAGGCTCTCCGAGGCTGATGTCATTGATCCGTGTCCCTACACACTCCATCTGGAGTACTTTGCACCATTCATCAGCCTCAAGATCTGCAGAAATGTCCAGAAGACGAACTTGTAAGCCCAGCGCGCACCTCAAAGCTGGAAGCCCAAGCCCTCCCTGCCTCACACAAACCTGATTCACAAGCAAAGGTCTTGGAGGTGTCGTCATTGAAGTAAATCCCTACAGCGTGCTTCTTGGTGCTCTTTGGCAGTCGAGCCACGTTCTTCACATTGTTGAGTTCCGTAACCTGAAAAGATGGACAACTGCAAGTTTGATCACACTCCATGAATGAATGCTTCCTCTCCACACCCCACTCCAGGGCAGACAGACAGCAAGAGGAACACAGCTGGACAAAAGAGCATGGATTCCTTCAGCGTCATCCTTAATAACTCCCCCTTCCTGTAGCTCCTGAGCTTCCTGAGGCCAGTGAAGTGGTGTGACTTGCCTTCATAGAAGTAGAAAGCTCATTTTAGTGGTTTTATTCTTTTTTTGTCCTTCCAGAGACTCCACCTTCCCATGGTTCTCGTGACTGTCTGCATCATGGTGGACAGCCTTTCCAACACTCCCAGTGGACTAAGAAGCCCCGCCCCTGCCCGATCCCGAGCGAAAACCGTCCCATTTGTAACTAAATTATCTCACTGTTTGCCAGTCACAGCAGGAATGTCCAGTCTCTCAAAAAAGCCCTCCCTTCAAGGTTCCAGTCCTGGATCCCCACACAGAGGGTTGGTCTGTGCAGTGCGTACCTGCTCTCGGACCTCCTGGCTTCCCAAGGGCTCTGCAAGCACTGTTTTTATTTAGAGGCAGAGATCTCTGCATTGGCAACGCCTTGTTCCTGTCCGAAGGGAAAGACGGCACGGCAGACATTGCCTCTTCCTCTCGCCCACTTTCCCGGTGCCTTTAGCACTCTAACAAACCCCTCCCCACCCACAGAGGATTCTGCTCATTGTGTTTCCAAAATGGCTGCCCCCACTCTGGTTACAGCTGGGTCCCTTGCTGCAGTATGGGAAGTGGCTCCTGCCTGAGAGAAGGTACGCGTGGCCTCAGCCTAGAGTATTTACAAGATAGATGACTCTTCCCCACCAACAGGCTTTGCCTCCCCTTCCAATAAGTCCTTTGTCTCACACAAAACAATGTACCTGCCATCCATCTTTACCTTCAGTCACGCGAACCATTTCTCCCGTCTACTGCTCTAAACTCAATAAATGCCTGAGTCCAGAAGTAGGCAAGGAGTGAAATAAATACTCTCGATGAGCACACTAACCTAATTAGTTTGCTTCCCTGCTTTTTTTTTTTTACCTCCAGCTCCCTCTATAATATGAATGCAAATTTCTTAGCATGCAATATCATAAAGTTGCTACACACCGAATATGTGTGCCTCTCCCATGACCCATAGGTCAAATCCTATCCCACCCCCCAAGCCAAGGTGATGGTACTAAGAGGTGTGGCTTTTGACAGATGCTTAGGTCACGAGGGTGGAGCCCTTGTGCACAGGATTAGTGCCCTTAGAAAACAGACCCAGAGAGCTCCCTCATCCCTTCTGCCCTGTGCAGACACAGGACGAAGATGTCATCTATGAACCAGAAAGCGAGTTTCCACTAGATACTGAATCTGGCAGTGCCTTGACCTTGGACTTTTCAGCCTCTAAAGCTGTGAGAAATAAACTTCTGTTGTTTATGAACTACCCAGTTTATGGCATTCTGTTATAGCAGCACAAGTGGACTAAGACAGTAGTCCCCAACATTCTCGCACCAGGGACTGGTTTTTCCAAGGATGGGGAGGTGGAAGGGGGGATGGAGGAACAGAAGGCGGAGCTCAGGCAGAGGGAGGGGCCAGGAGGCAGAGCTTGGGCAAGCGACCCTCACAACCCGGTTCCTAACAGGCTGGCGCTGGTCCACCACTTGGGGGTTGGGGACCCCTGGACTAAGACACCAGTGCTCCCCAAAAGTTCAGCCAAGCCAGTTTCTGGTGGCTCAACACTACCTAAAGTATTCTCCAACTATGCCAAGCCCCATCGAGTTTACCAGGAGAAACTGCTTACATTTGGTTGCCATTGGTGCTCAGGCCCCAATACAGCCACTATCGTTCTGCCACAACTACTCACTGGTCTCTCCACTCCCATCTTAACCCCATTAATTCACTGTAAACACAACATCCAGATGGCCTTTATAAAACACACGTCCGATTTGAGCAATTCCATGCATAAAACACTTCAAGGTCTTCCCATGGCACCTGAGACAAAAGCCCCAATCCTTAGAATGACCATCGAGACCCTCGGGGGCCTTCCCCATAGCTGTTTCACCAGCCTCCTCTCTGTCATCTTCGCCACGTGTCCTATGTCCCAACCACACTGGCCTTTATTTAGTTCCCAGAAGGGACCATGGCTCTCCAGGCACAGCGCCTTCGCCCTCTCTCCTTCCCTTGCTCCCACTCAGCTTACAGGGCTTAGTTTACGTGCCGTCCCTTGCAGAGCTCAGAAAGATAACCCCCATCCCCATCTCTTCAGTCCCAGCCCACGGGTGGCTGTAGGCGTCATGGTTTGGTGCCCATCTTCTCTGTAGAGTAAAAGCCCCATAGACTAGGGACAGGATCTGTTTTGCTCCAGACTGAGTCCTCTGAATCTGACACACCGCTTGCTGCACAGTGGAAACTCTATCAACACGTGTGGACTTGAACAAAAGAACATACCCACCCACAAACGTACTTGCAGGGCGCGTCCCCAGAGTGAAAGCCTCTCTCTCCTGCCGCTTTTCTCTGGAGAAATTCTGCTTCTCCTTTAAGGTCCACTTCCTCTGGGAAACCTGTCCTGACCTTCGTGTGAATTAATTGTTCCTTTCTTTCTGCTCCCATGTATGATGCATGAAGCTGTATTCTATTATCTGCTATTGTGATTAATCCATTTATCTCCCCAGCTCGCAGTTAGACATGAGTCACCTATCAGTGACTTACTGATGGACTCAATCGATGAGAAAGTCATATGAGAGCCAACATTTATGAAGCCTGTCCCACTCGCCACGCTCTGTGCTTAGACTCCTCTTATATGCTATGTCTCATTTGATCTTCACAAAACCCTATGAGAAAGATAATATCATCAGTGTTTTCAAGATGAAGAAATTGAGTCTGAGAAAGGTCAAAGTCAACTGCCCACATTCACAGCAAAAAAAATGGCAGAACCAAGTGTTGAATGAGGCAATGGAACCCTGAGTCCTATGCCCTTCGGCTGCCCGGATGAAATGCTAATGACTGATTTGAAAACCGTCCAGCACAGAGAATCTTCAGCCCCCAAAGTGATCTCCTGCTTCGGGGCCTCTTTATTTTCCCCGTGGGGGTGGACGTAGGATGTGAGTGCCCCAGGCTTTAGGCTGACCCCCCTACCAAGTCCCTATATATAAGAGTGGTCTACCCTCATCTGAAAGGCAGCAATGACTCCCAAATGTGTCACGGCATTACCCAGCCATTAAGGGCCAAGAGGAAGGAATAAGTCACCTGAAAGAGTCAGGAAATGCAGGAAGGACTGCATGAGTCAGAACACAATTACCCATTTTGGAAATTGGTTTAGATAATAACAACCTGACACCCCCACTCAGGGGAGAGGGGCGAGTGTTTGCAGAGCCGGCGGAAGGACAACCAGGTGCTAAAGCAGCAGAGTCTGTCCCCAAATCAGAACGACACCTCGGTGAGCACCCACGGGCACATACCCACAACAACCCCCCAACACCCACACGCACCCCTTACTTTAAAAACACGGCCATCCACGCCAGTCTCTGAGTCTTCCCCAAAACACACGGTGAAGCGGTAACTACGAGAACTAACATTTGCAGCTGTATTTGTAAGTCACATAACACTTCTATAAGACGTATTTATTTCCACCATCACTCCATTTTTGTCAATGAGAAAACCAAAGCAGGACTTTTTTTTTTCTTTAATATTCCTTTCGCAAAGAAATAAGGTGTGCCTAAAAGAATCACTTTTAAAGCAAACACAGATCTTTATGCAGCCTCAGATTCTCATTGAATGTGAGTATTATTTTAAATGGGAGCTTCCTAAGGGCACTTGACCATCCCAAGTGACTGTCGGGTCCCCAGTACTGCCTCCGAGGGGTGGGCACTCAGGACCAAAAGCATGTACAGTAATAACTCTCTCAATTCACCTTCCGTTTGAATCTCTTGTCTCTTCCTTCAGTCCCAGACCAGCCAAGCATTATTTCCTCCCAAGCTCAAACCTTCTTAGGGAAACTCCCCCCGAGCCTCTGTAGTTAGAGATTTTAACTTTCTTCCACAGTGCAAACACAGAGACACACCATACACTCTATGTGTATCATGACGTCTTCATCTGTAGAGTCACAAAGAAAATGTCAGAATTTCTTCAAGGTGTCCCAGCATCAAGGAGGGGACCACTCACACGCCGCTGTTCTAGAACCACATTCCTTCTTCAAGAATCTCCCTGGCAGGCACACCGAACGACCGAACGGGCCCCCGATGAACACGCAGGGAAGGAACCAAGAGGCCGCCGCTCCTGAGTCGGGCCTCGCTATTCCTCAGGTGGTCACGAAGGGCATTCAAGGGTGCGTGGGAGAGCAAGACAAATTTCTCGGCAAAAGGAGCCATGAATGCACAATCATGGAACTGCAGTTCCTGTGACAAAACGTGGAGGAGTGGCCCAGGCCGAGCGGCTAACGGGCTGTCACCGCCACCAGGAGCCCAGCGTGAATCGTGACGTCCGAAGGGCATACACTGAAGGGCTTTAAGCGGATAAACAAAAGGGTCATGTCTGTGTTTTAGAAAGACTACTTTGTAGAGCAGCAGTTCGCAATCTGGGGGAGATTCTCGCACCCCTCTCCTCTGTGTGGGGAAGTAGGTAGCCATGTCCGGAAACACGCTAGGTTGTCACAACTGGGGGTGCTCCTAGAATATACTGGGCAGAGGCCAGACATGCTGCTAAACATCCTACAGTGCACAGGACAGCCCCCACGACCAAAATGTTAATAGTGTTGGGGTTGAGACTCCCTGATCTAGTAAAAATGGAGAAAGGACAAGGCTGATTCATTACGGAACTAGAGTGACCCTCACATGGACTCGATGAGAGTGGCGCCCCCTGGCGTTAAGCAGCGAGCAGCTGACTGGGCCATCCATGGTGACCTTAACCTTGGGAAGGATGGGAACATGATCTGAGGTCAGAGATACGGTCCGCAGAGGCCAGCAGACAACCAAGCCGTGAGTGGATTACCACTGTAGCTTGGGTTAGAACGGG